CCCACAACTCCCAATTGGTGATGGGGCAGTTGTGGAGAGAGTGGAGAGTTTCCCATACCTTGGCAGTGTGCTTATGACCGGCTCCATTCTATCAGCAGAGGTCTCACTCCGAATCAGTCGAGCGGCAATATCTTTTCATTGGTTGCGTAACGCTGTGTGGAAGCTACCTGGTCTGTCGCTCCGCACGAAGCTTCAGGTCTTCTCGGCCACGGTCATTCCCTCCCTTCTCTACGCTTGCGAGACGTGGACCCCCCTGGTGGAGCATCTTCGCCGGTTGGAAACATTTAGGCTGGCCTGCCTACGATCCATCCTGGGTTTAACCAGGCTGGATTGTGTGAGGAGCTCACAAATCCTTGAAAGATCTGGGCAAAGTCCCATCAGTGAGCTCCTCCGGCAGGCAAGGCTGCGTTGGCTGGGTCATGTAGCCCGCATGCCCAGCCACCGCATGCCTAAACAGCTTTTGTTCGGCCGGATCGAGGGGGCTAGACGGGCGCCGGACGGGCTGGAGAAGAGATGGAGTGATGTGGTACAGGAGGACGTGGAGCTGAGTGGACTTGCCGATGACTGGTACCAGCGGTGTCAAGATCGGCCTCAGTGGAGGAGGCTCGTGAAGGACGCTACTGGGCAGTTGGAGGCAGTCGCCCTCCAACAACAACGGAGGGCGGAGGAGCGACGCTCACAACAACGAGCGGAGCGCCGGGTGGCTAAAGCACAGCAAGTTGGCACAGTAGGGGGCACAGGTGGTGCATCAGCCAGTCATCTCGGTCATCTCGGTCAGTCGACCCGTGGCACCTGGGTTTGCCCCGTGACCTCCTGCCAGCGGGCTTTCGACACTTCACGTGGCCTCAAGGTGCACTTGGCCTGGCACAAGCATCGTGGTGACATCACCGCCACTTAGTGGCGAATGGCGGTTGTTGTTGTTGTTGTGTCTGTGTGTATGTGTGTGTGTAGGTGTGTGTGTCTGTGTGTAGGTGTGTGTGTGTGTAGGCATCGCTTGTGTTGCGATCGAAACGTCGTGATATTTTTATTAACTTTATTTTGATTATTTTTTTCTTTCTACGTGACTTCACCGAAAGAACCAAAGAATATGAATTCCTGCAGTCACGAACGTTTTAAGTGAAAATAATAGTTGTTGATGTTGTAGCTCTGCATCTACATCAGCTGTACGAAAGACAAACATTCCCATCGTGAACACCACTGTGGTAGTCCGCACAGCGACACGAACTCTCTCCCTCTTACTCTTAGTTTTTTCGGTAAAGTCACGTAGGTAAAAAATGAAATTAAAATTAATAAAAATAAAATAATAAAAATCACGACGTTTCGGAGGCAACACAAGTCTCCGTCATCAGGTGGGACCGTCCCAGCCAGATTTGCTGTATCAAGTGTGTTGCCTCCGAAACGTCGTGAATTTAAATATTTATTTTATTATTTATTTTTATTCATTTTATTTCATTTTTTACCTACATGGTGACTTTACCGAAAAAACTAAGAGTATGAATCCTTGCAGTCACGAAAGCTTAAAATCTCTCTCCCTCTGCTGAAGCCTTCTCGTCGTGACCAGCAGCAGGAGACCTCCACGTTGGTATCGAGCTCCTGGACATCTTTGCTGATGCCATCATGCACGCAAGAATGGTCATTTCATTCGTCATGCATGATAGAAGGTTTTTTGGGGGGTTAGATCGCGTAAATATAAATATGTCGTTAAACCCGCCACCACCCGACACAGCCATTTAGTAAAGGGTTGTCACGTAGCACAAAGCATGCAAATTCGTTACTAGTTCAGCACACCGGTACATCTAACAACAATTGTAAATGTCGTAGTGGGTTTACTCTCCAACAAACCGGTGGTGCTGTACTGGTAACGAATTGGCACGTTCTGTTTACGTGACAAACCTTACTGATTGTCTGTGTCGGGTGGTGGCGGGTTTAACAACACTTTCATATTTACGCGATCTAACCCAAAACAAACCTCTATTACGAATGATATTGGTCGCGAAGCCCGACTTCGTGTTAAGCCGATCCATCCATTCATTGTTCTCGCAGTAGATGGCGCGCTGACCATTCACATGAAGTCGAACCCACCGCTCTGTTGCAGTGCTGTGCAAGAAGGGCCGTGACAGCAGGCGGCGGCCTGGCGGTAGTGGGGGGGGGAGAGAGGCCTTCATCTAGCAGTGGATTGACCACGGCTGATGATGGTGATGATGAAATATATTTTGAGGAGGGGGGGGGGCTAAAAATATCCGAGGCTCTGGCCTTTTGCCCCCCTAATGCCCCCCAGAGTGAGAGTTCAGTGGTAATGGGGCGGTTTGTTGAGGACGCCACGGTGGCTAGGAGATGTTGACTACCTCGCCTGGTATAGAGGAGGTCGTGGATTCGATCCCGACCCTGACGCCTGCTGTATATTTGGAGTTTGCGTGTCTGTCTCTCTCTCTCTGATCATCATCACGGTGGCTAGGAGATGTTAACTACCTCGCCTGGTATACATGAGGCAGTGGGTTCCATCCTGACCCTGACGCCTGCTGCTGTAGATTTGGAGTTTGCGTGTCTCTCTCTCTGATCATTATCACGGTGGCTAGGAGATGTTAACTACCTCGCCTGGTATGCAGGAGGTCGTGGGTTCGATCCCGACCCTGACGCCTGCTGCTGTATATTTGGAGTCTGCGTGTCTCTCTCACCCCGTGGCCGCGTGGATTTCTCTCCGGGTCCTCCGGGTTTTTCCCTCCACGTTTAGAAACACGAGTTTAGAGTATTTGGCTGCTATAAATGTCCATGTGATGATGATAAGCCACGAAGTTGAGCCATCACTTGTGGCCAGGTCGCTTCTGATAAAGAGCTACGTAGCTCCAGTGGACCTTACCTGGTCAAATACAAAATAGTTTCAATACTTTGAGTTTATCTTGGTGCGATCCTTATTTTACTGCCTTGTTCAAACTTGAGCAATCTGGACTTATATCATCGATTTATTATGCAATCATATTTCGAGACTTGCTTAGCTTCACTCTCTCTATTTTGCACTCCCTCTCGTGGTTATTCGTTTGCATCGTTTGCTGTTTGTACCTCCCCGCCCCCGCTCCATACTGAAAACAATCTGCGAGGGACAGAGAGAGAACAAACAAGAGCTTCACAGCTCTTCGGCTTTCTCCTCGAGTTCTAAAATAAAATATTCCGATTCGAAATTTCTGTCCCTGGCCAGTCGCTACTCCCAGCGGCCTGCGGGGTGAGGGAGGGAGAGTGAAGGTCTGAGTGAGTGGCGAAGTGTCGGCCTGGGAGATTCACACGCTGCCTGTAGGTGCAGCGCCTGAACACGTGGCCCGGCACCGCGAGTCAACACCAAGCCGGCGAGTGGCAGCGAGCACACCTAGCACGGACACTGCAGACATGTGCTGGCTTTTAACACGTGTTGCTTTTGTTGTTTCTGCTGCTGCTGCTGTAGTTTCCCCGGAGTCCATCACTTTGTTTTCCTTTGTACAATTTAGCTACTGTACTGTACACCTCTCTCTGTGTGTGTGTGTTTCACGCTGCTTTTTTTGGTAAAAGTGTCAAGTTACTTTTTCCGGAATAAGTTAGTCCGTGACCCGGACACACTGTAAACATCGTTTGGTGTACATGTAGACAAAGTTTGTCCGCAATACCGGTTTTATCTTGGTTGGTATGCTGAGATAATTAACTCGCTACACTTGAGCAAGCCGTTTAATCACAGCTCATGTCTGTGTGCGTCTATGGGTCTCTGTGTGAGTCTATGGGTCTCTGTGTGAGTCTATGGGTCTTTACGTGAGTCTGTGGGTCTCTATGTGAGTCCATAGGTCTCTGTGCGTGTCTATGGGCCTCTGTGTGGGTCTATGGGTCTTTACGTGAGTCTATGGGTCTTTATTTGAGTCTATGGGTCTCTGTGTAGGGTCCATAGGTATCTGTGTGAGTCCATAGGTATCTGTGTGAGTGTATGGGTCTCTGTGTGAGTCTATGGGTCTGTGTGTGAGTCTATGGGTCTCTGTGTGAGTCTATGGGTCTCTGTGTGAGTCTATGGGTCTTTACGTGAGTCTATGGGTCTTTATTTGAGTCTTTGGGTCTCTGTGTGAGTCTATGGGTCTCTGTGTGAGTCCATAGGTATCTGTGTGAGTGTATGGGTCTCTGTGTGAGTCTATGGGTCTGTGTGTGAGTCTATGGGTCTCTGTGTGAGTCTATGAGCCTCTGTGTGAGTCTATGGGTCTCTGTGTGAGTCGATGGGTCTCTGTGTGAGTCTATGGGTCTCTGTGTGAGTCTATGGGTCTCTTTGTGAGTCTATGGGTCTTTGTGTGAGTCTATGGGTCACTGTGTGAGTCTATGGGTCTCCGTGTGAGTCCATAGGTCTCTGTGTGAGTCTATGGGTCTTTATTGTATTACATGGGTCTCTGTGAGAGTCTATGGGTATTTACGTGAGTCTAAGGGTGCCTGTGTGGGTCTTTAGGTTTCTATATGAGTCTATGTGTCTCTGTGTGAGTCACTGCTGACCAGGACTGAGACCATAAGGGGCCGTCCATAAATGACGTCACGCACCTGGGGGGGGGGGGTCAGCCGATGTTTGACGAGGGGGGGTTTGAGAAATGTAACGTCACATCAAAATGCGCAACTTTAAATACATATAGACAACACGTTCTACTTAATTAAATAGACGTTTTAATAAATGTTTTCTCCTACAACATCAGAGTGCAGCGCCACTTTAAATACGCACTACAATGACAACAGTTTAAAGCGATTTGTGACGTAATATTTGAGGGGGGGTCTGACTTTTTGTGACGCCGTGTGACGAGGGGGGGGGGGTCAAAAATCGTCCAAAACCGCGTGACGTTATTTATGGACGGCCCCTAAACCCACTACCCTAGAGAACCCGGTTCGACCACGGGTAGAGGCTGCGACGCGGATTCGAACCCAGGCCCTTAGCTCGGCGTCTGTGGCACGACCACTGTGAGCCCGTGAGTCTCTAAGGGTTCACACAATTCACACGTGCAAACTCACGTTCTCACTCACAACTCGTGTTTATTACATCACGCTTATAAAAAGTACTTAAATATATATTTTAACATATGTCACAGGGTTGATGTACAAAGTGCGAGACAATAAATAGCAACAACAAGGACGACAACAAGGACGACAACAACACCGCACCGTACTATGAACACACATTCAGAATAGCCACGTGAGCTCCCGTCACGTGACGCCCGTGACGCGCGCAAGGCACGTGACGCAGGTGACGCACGTGACGCACGTTTCCCCGTCAAGTGTTGACACGTGCGGGAATGAAACCGGAGCACGCGGAACAAAAACCCACGCGTACGAGAGTGAAGAGGGGGGCAACGCTCTATCCCGTACAGTCGAAACAGATGGAGGTGAGTCCACACACTCCGCTGTGCCGCGTTCTCCTGTCGAGCCAGGACTCGGCCTACTCCTCGACGCCCACCCCCGGCTCAGGGAGGGAGTTTCGTGACCCCATCTGCGTGGTGATCCACCAACCCTGTCTGCTGCCTGCACAGCTGCTGGATCACGTGCAGCGGCGTAGCCACCGCGCGGTCCTCCCCATCGTCTCTCGTCTCCGTGAACGCGGGAACGAGTGCAGGCGCGGCGTGCGCGTTGAAACTTCTTTCGCACCGGACGTAGCCAACCGCGCTGGGCGTCGAGCAGCGTCGAGTGACGTCGAGCGACATGGAGCGACGTCGATCGATGCCGAGCGACGTGGAATAACGTCGAGCGACGTTGAGGGAAGTTGAGCGACGTCAAGCGGGTAACGTCGCCCCCCCACCCCGAATCACTCCTCCACGTCCTCTCGCTCGTCCTCGCTGTCCTCCGAGTCGCTCTCCTCGCTGTCCGAGTCGCGCAGGGCGATGGTGGCCTGCACGGGGAAGCCCTCGAGGAGGCGCTCCCCGTCCGCGTACAGGTGGTCGAAGACGCGCGACCGGGACCAGTACAGCCTGGCGGAGCACACACACACACAGGGGGGTCAGCCTATCAGCTGGGTATCACATGGCTATGCTATGCGCTGGTTATAATATCAGTTGGTTATCAGATGGCTATGCTATCAGCTAGTTATGCTATCAGCTGGTTATCAGATGGTTATATTATCAGCTGGGTTAACAGCTGTGTATGCTATCAGCTGGTTAAGTTATCAGCTGGTTATGCTATCCACTGATTATGTTATCAGCTGGCAATCATATGGTTATATTATCAGATGGTTATGCTATCAGCAGATGATGATTTCAAATGATTTTGCTATCAGCTAGTGATGCTATCAGCGCGTTATGCTATCTGACAGGGGATTTACTTTCAACCGAGCCTGTCTGGTTGAGCAACCTGACTTTATATTCAGCACCCAGCACACCACATCCAGTATGACGGTGGCTACAGGTTGCGTGCCACCTTATGGTCTGCCACTGACTCTATCAGTGCATATTCTTTTGGTCTTTCGGCAAAGCCACGTAGATAGAACAATTAATAAAATAATAACAAAGTCACGACGTTTCGATCGCAACACAAGCAATCGTCATCAGGTGTAAAAAATAGCGGGAGAGCTGCTGAGAATATGGGTGGTTGTGCTATGTCATGATGATGACGATTATTATTACTGGATGAGAGCGAGGAGCGAGTTCAAATCGTCACGATGCGATTCGTATCCTGGTTAAATTAAAATGACTCAATGATGATGACGATGATGATGCCGATGATGATTAAGATGACGATGATGATTAAGATGACGATAATGATTAAGATGCCGATGCTTCGTGCACGATCCACCTATCGATCGCTGACGTGCCCCTACTGAACATCCGTGTAAACAAAAACACGAGCTTCACAGCTCATACGATTCCTCGTGCAGTCTAAATAAAGATTCGTCTCGTGTCCCCGTCAGTCGCGGTGTGGAAGCGCCGACTCACTTGACTGGGTGTTTGAATGACAGCTTGCTGGCGGGTTTCTGCACTCGGCGTAAATGCTGTCTTAGTGTCTCCTAAACGGCACGCGAACACACACGCACACATTCACCCAGTTTAGCATCGTCAGCGAAAATAATCATAATAACAACGATATTATCTATAATAGAGGTGTTTTTTTGCGTTGGATCGCGTAAATATGAATGTGTCGTTAAACCCACCACCACCCGACACAGCCAATTAGTAAAGCTTGTCACGTAAACAGAACGTTCAGCACTCGCCGGTAGTGTGTTGGAGGGTAAACGCACTACAACATTTACGATTCTGGTACCGTGACGTTTCGCCGGTACATTACAACAACAACAACCACCAGCAGCATCAGGCGACGGCCAGAGTTGTGGAAAAATCCTCCTCCCTGATTCGCTCTTAAGTAGAGGAGGGGCTGAGGTGTGACGTCGTCACTCGTGAGCCAATCAGGAGCGAAGGCCAGAGGCTTAGCACAATGATATTGTGACACGTGTTGACATTGTTATTAACTGTGTTTTATAAATGTACTAAACAGGCACAGGTGCAGCCGGGCAACTGGCGTCTCACGCCGCTGCACTCATCGTCTGTGATCCTGGGCGGCTGTAACTCATGAAACGTACCGGAGTAGCTGCGTTTGTCCTTCCTTGAGAATCTCCGAATGAGCACTCTTCCCAAGGTCTCCACAGTTTGCAGAGGCTGTGATGGGGAGGACAATTTGAGTCAATTATCAGCATCAACAGCGGCAGCATCGTATTCATCAACAGCAGCAGTAGCGCCACAACTAATAGCTGCAATGTTATCAGCAGCAGCATCAGCAGCAGCAGAATCATCAGCAGCAGTAACAGCATAATTACTAGCAGCAGTGTCATCAGCATCAGCAGCAACGTGTCAATGCATAGTTAGATACTAAAGCACAGTACGTGTGGAAATTCACGACAATATTTTTGGTAAATTCTCATTTGCTGATGATAATGCCACTGATGATGATCATCATGCTGATGATGGTTGGTGATGTACATCACCGCCGTGTGTATATCGACACGGCACTCGTTACGCGTTCACTTGCTATGCCTCTCAACGTGCCTCCCGAGGTGCCTCCCAAGCGAGATGCCTCGGGCGCCGCGCACGGGAGGGAAAGATCTTTGAATCGACAAGAAGAGCGGAACCCCGGGGTCAGCCAAATCTCATCGCGCCGTTACAAAGATCCCCCGTATAGCCTGAGCAGGCTGTTAGGGCAAGTGCTGTTAGCAAGTAGCACCTGTGAAGGCCGGAACGACACACGAGGGGGTGGGTTGCCAGCACCACACCCGACCGCCTTTGTCTCCCCAGTGGCGATGTTTACACACCGCCACCGGGTAGTCATTTGAGGCTGAGTCGACCTAGGGGAGGCCCAGAACCGGTTCAGATAATCGTCACCGGTGTTGGTTGCCGTGAACGGGAATCGAACTCGGGTCGCATGCGGCGGCTCTTTTAGGTACCGCTCCGTGACACGCTACGTACATGTGTCGCGTGTGTGTGTGTTTGTGTGTGCGCGTGAGTGTGTGTGTGTGCGTGTGTGTGTGCGTGTGTGCGCGTGAGTATGTGTGTGCGTGTGTGCGCGTGTGTGTGTGTTTGTGTGTGTTTGTGTGTGCGTGTGTGCGCGTGAGTATGTGTGTGCGTGTGTGTATGCATTCACAATTGCATCGCGGCCCTTGTAAATATTAGGGTTGTTTTGTTGTTGTTACCCAATTCGAAAATAAAAGTCGCTTTTTATAACTTTGGTTGCCGAAAGTTGATCTTTAGGCACACGTGTCAGTACGGCCTGTGCTTTTACAACAACACAAACATCCGAAAACCACACTTTTCTTTTAATTTTTAATTCGGGCCACCAATCAAATGACAGCCCAGAAGGTTTCGGGGCTTACAGGTTACAACTAACTCGCCCCCCCCCTTCCCCCCTCACCATCAGTGAACCGAGTAATTCGCCTACCTCCGTGTGTGACCCGACCCCCAATCGAAATGAGAAGTTGCCTGCTAAGATCCGCGCTCAACACGTACACGTACACGATGCCCTTAACTTATTTTAGATGCTGTACTCGTGGCTGGGATTTAATAGCGCAGCGCGCTAACCTCTGCACCACCGCTCCCCACACAAATACAACTACAAAGATCACCGTATAGCCTTTACTAGACCATTGGGGCAAGTGCTATTAGCGAGCCTCGAGGCCGGAACTGCACACGAGAGGGTGGCGTGGCAAACACCACGCCCAGCCGCCTTTGTCTCCCCACTTCTGATTTGTACGCACCGCACCAGATACGACCTAGGAGATGTGGTGGTGGTGGGTGGGTGGGGGTGGCGGTGTGAGTGCCGCGAAGCTCACCTTGGATGCCGGCCTCCTTCGCTGGACGTCGCTTGACCGGCGCGGCGTTGCTTGATGGACACAGCATCAGCAGCATCATCGGCAGTAGCAGCAGTAGCAGCAGCAGTAGCAGTAGTAGCAGTAGCCATCGTGAACTCAAGCTACGACAGAGAGAGAGAGAGGCTCGAGACGGAGCGGGCGGGCGCTAGTGCGTGATGACTGTTGCCAATCGCGGCCGCTTATATAGCGCGAGCCGGCACATGTCCAGCACCTAGGCTGGTACGGGGAGGAGGGATGTTGGTGGGGGGGGGGTGATTCTGGGGGTGGCGGAGGGGGCGGGGTGTGAGCGCGCAGAGGGGGGCCGCGGTGAGCCTCTGCGGGGAGCTATGAGCCATATGGCGTGCCTGCTGGGTCCGTGTGGGTGGGTGGGTGGTGGGGAGCGGTGGTGTCGCGGTTAGCGCGCTGCGCTAGGAACCCGGCGACCCGAGTTCGATTCCCGTTCACGGCCAACACCCAGTGACGATTATCTGAACCGGTCCTGGACCTCCCCTAGGTCGACTCGGCCTCAAATTGTTACCTGGCACAAGCGACGCGGTGACGTAATGACCACTTCGTGGCGAATAGCGGCTGATGTTGTGTGTGCACGTGTCTTCGTGGATGTGGCGAGCGGTCCCGGGCCTCCCCTAGGTCGACTCAGCCTCAAATGATTACCTGGTGCGGTGTGAAGTAAACATCCGCACTGGGAAGACAAAGGCGGCCAGGCGTAGTGCCGGCCACCCATCCCACTCGTGTGCCGTTCCGGCCTTCATAGGTGCTGCTCGCTGAACAGCACTTGCCCCAACAGTCCGTTGCAGGCTACACGGCGTTGGAGGGTGGGCTTTGTCTTTGTCGAGATTGTTGGAATGGGTTGCGAATTATCCTCACTGTGGGAGAATGGTGTCAAGAGTAAACAGCCCAGCGTGGGAAATCTGCCACCTCGGTAATCACAGGGCGTGCGCCTCGCCTGTTGCGCCTCGCTGGGCTACCCGCGATCGAGAACTCGTGTTGCCCACATCGAGACTATGCGGTGAGCACACGCGCATCTTATACAACTCAAGATCGGCTCAGGACCCCCTGTATGTCGTACAGAGAGAAAGAGAGAGATAAATGACCCTTGCCTCTGTGTTTCACCAGTTTCACCAGTATATACGCAACGAATCCCTGCAGACTCTGCCGATGAGACCATGTATGTCGAAGCCGGACCGTAGTGTTGCTTGTCTTGGATCAATGCTGCCGAAATGATGAACTCTCAGAATGCGTGCGGCTGATGGGACGTGTAAGGGACGCGTTCTGGCGTGGAGAGACGAAGGGTGCGAATGAAACATCGTCCGCTGGTTTTATTTCAGGTTTAATTTGTTAACATAAATATAGCGGCATTTTTTTTATTTTATTTTATCAAACGTGAACAGAAACGAGGAAGTCAATAGGTCGGAGGAGAGCTGGTTGAATTGAAGTGATCTGAGAAGAGCAGAACTTGATATCGACAATCGACGTACCCATGAGCCTATTGAACACGGTGCTGCTGCTACTCCTACAACTGGTGTGTTTTGTTTATTTAAATCAAGCAGGGCCCCACTGAGATGTGTCGCTCATGGTTTCACAAGCGACCTGGCCACAGATGATAGCCCGGCGAAGTGGCTTATCGTCACGTGGACATTTATAGTGGCGGTCAAATACTCTTAAACGCGTGGATGTCGATTCGAAATGTGGAGGGAATCGGTGGACCCGGAGACAAAAATTCACGCGACCACGGGGAGAGAGAGAGAGAGACACCGCAAACTCCAAATATACAGCGGCAGGCGTCAGGGTTGGGATCGAAGGTTTTTTAAATCGTGACCACTGCCTGCTACTGCACACCCTACTACCTCGTGATGTTGCTGCTGCTGCGTTGGCAGGGGTGCAAAAGCACAATTAACAACAACAATAACAACTTCACCACATAATCGAGGTTATTTGGGTTAGATCGCGTAAAAATATAAACGGTCGTTAAACCCGCCACCGCCCGACACAGCCAACCAGTAAGGGTTGTCACGTCAACAGAACGTGCCCTTCTCATCACTAACTGCATCATCATCATCATGTTGACTTCTTCACTGTTGCAACCTGCGTATTACTTCTTCCAGTCTAGATGCGGTATCCTTCTATAGCAATGCACTTAGAATGTGCGGTGATACACATTGTACACATTTGCGTGCGTGTGCTCGGCGTATTCCTGTTGCTTCCAAAGCACCCGTTTTTCTGTGTGTACATTTCACAGCTGAAGGCTGGATTAAAACGTGGACGCGATGGGGTGGAAGCCGCAACGAACGCAGCATTAATGAACGAATGCAACACGTGCCCGAGAATTCCCCGAAAGCAAATTGTTATTGCAGATGCTCGTGGCTTAGCGACACGCACATGGCCCGGGCTAGGCATGTTTTGAGTTGAGGTGGTGGCGGTGGTGGTAGTGGCGCAGTGTGTTGTGGATTAACTTGCCGTGTGGCCGGCGCAGCGGGGGGTGATGGAGAGTGCTTTAGCAGCAGGGGAAGAGAGCCAGGCAGGGCTGTGTGAGAGATTGAGGACGAGAGGAAGAGAGCGGTGGCGCAGTGCTTAGCGCACTGAGCCACAAACCCGGTGACCCGAGTTCGATTCCCGCTGTCAGTGAGCCTTCGACACTTCACGTTGACGACCTTAAAGTGCACCTAGCCTGGCACAAGCGCCGCGGTGACGTTGCGGCCACTTAGTTGCGTGGGGCGGCCGTTGTTGTCTTCGTGGATGTGCGGAGCGGTGGCGTAGCGGTGAGGGCGGTGCACTACACCCAAGTTCGACTCCCGCTCACGGCCATGACCAGTGACAATCATATAAATTGGTGCCGGGCCTCCCCCAGGTCGACTGAGACTCAAATTAGAGACAAAGGCGGCCGGGCGTGGTGCTGGCCATCCACCCCCTCGTATGCCGTGCCGGCCTTCATAGGTGCTCGCTGACAGCACTTGCCCCAACAGTTTGTCACGGCTATACGGGGGATCTTTGTCTTTGAGAGAGAGAAAGTGAGTAATAGGTTGAGAGGGACGGCGAGATGGTGAAAGAAAGTGATTGAGGGGAGGAGAGGGTGAGAGAGAGTGGGTGAGTGGGTGAGTGAGTGAGTGAGATGGTGAGAGGGTGAGTGAGTGAGTGAGAAGGTGAGAGGGTGAGTGAGAAGGTGAGAGGGTGAGTGAGTAAGAGGGTGAGTGAGTGAGTGAGAGGGTGAGTGAGAGAGTGAGAAGGTGAGAGGGTGAGTGAGTGAGTGAGAGGATGAGAGGGTGAGTGAGAAGGTGAGAAGGTGAGAGGGTGAGTGAGTGAGTGAGTAAGAGGGTGAGTGAGTGAGTGAGAGGGTGAGTGAGTGAGAGTGAGAAGGTGAGAGGGTGAGAGGGTGAGTGAGTGAGAGGATGAGAGGGTGAGTGAGTGAGTGAGAGGGTGAGTGAGAGGGTAAGAGAGAGGGTGAGAGAGGGGGTGAGAGTGAGGGGGGGAGTGAGGGGGTGAGAGAGGGGGTGAGTAAGGGGGTGAGAGAGGGGGTGAGAGAGGGGGTGAGAGAGGGGGTGAGAGAGAGGGTGAGTGAGGGGGTGAGAGAGGGTGAGAGTGAGGGGGTGAGTGAGAGGGTGAGGTGAGGGGGTGATGAGAGGAGGTGAGACGAGGGGGTGAGAGAGGTGAGAGAGAGGGGTGAGAGAGGGGGTGAGAGCGATGGGGTGAGAGAGAGAGAGGGGGTGAGAGAAGAGGGGGTGAGAGAGGGGGTGAGAGAGGGGGTGAGTGAGGGGTGAGAGAGGGTGAGAGTGAGAGTGGGGGTGAGAGCGAGGGGGTGAGAGAGGGGGTGAGAGTGAGAGAGGGGGTGCGAGCGAGAGAGGGAGAGGTGTGAAAGTGAGGCCCTCCACGTGCCGAGCGGGACGCCTTGGCCGCGCGCTGTTTTCTCTCGTTGACTGGAGCCCGCACGAGGAAGTGGCACCACCAACAAGGTAATTAATTATCTAACATGATTTATAGCCCTCTGTCAATCCACGATGTTGCCTTTCCATTTACGCACGGCATCGCGCCCGGCCGCCTTTGTCTCCCCGCCGTCGATGCCGAGTCGACCCAGAGGGGACGAGGCCCCGGGGGGGAGCTGATTCTGGATATTCGTGAGCCCCGTTGGCCGTGAGCGGGAATCGAACCCAGGTGGCCGGGTTCGTTGTCGGCGGCACAGAGAGCTCGCAACCACGAGGACACAGCTCGTGTTCTATGAAGTAGGCTCGTTGCCCGAAACGTCGCCTATTAAGACCCTTACTTGAACTATCATTTGCGGCCAGGTCGCTTCTGAAATAGAGCTGTAAAGCTCAGGGGGGCCTTACACCTGGAAAAATTAAATTTCGTATTAAAATATTTTGTATATTTTAGGGTCACAGTGTTATTGACGAATGTGTTAAATATTATATTTAATAAACATCTTTACATGTTGTATTTGCGCCATTCGTAGACCGTGGTGTTAACACAAAGACCCCCTGTTTCCCATGCCGTACTTTCTATGTGTAGTCAGCACATGATCCCTCTGGGGTCGATACAATTACTACCACTTTGTGGCTAATTCAACAACCGTTATCCTACAGACACACTCGCCGGCCTCTGTAGCCCCCACCACCCTCGCCCTGCCGTAGGAATGTGGAGTTTCCACCTCTGGCTCAGACCTGTAAAGAGAAGGAGCGCACCAACGGCTACATTCTCATATCGACAAGAATTCACAGTTCGTCAATTTTACTTCGTAATGCCGCCTTGGTCGATTGAGTCCAAAGTGATTAACATGAATATACTCCGTAAATCATTGCTCAAATATGCTATTGTAGGCAGCAGTCTTGAGACTCGGCGAGGCTTTCCTGAATATATATGTGGTTTTTCAATCGATTAGGTTGCATTTCAGATCACTGTAACAGTACACAAACCGGTAAAAACCGGTTACCGTTTCGCAACTCCGTACGGTTATAAACGTCTCAAGCCAATGCTCGTCAGGGGCTGTTCATCTTCTCGACGGAGAGACGCAGCGGTGCCAATTTCAAGATCTGCGTGGTCACACCGCCAACTGACGTTCCATTGGAGAGACCCGGGTTACCGGTTCACGATTAACCGGTTC